GCTATAGGAGGTCAGGAAGCTATTGTTCAGTTTCCTGACTATATTACACCGCGATCAGTCATAAAACTCCAGATATCGCGTTATCCACTGGGCCAGCTGACTACAATAAGATTCATCTACGGGTATTTATGCACCCCAAGACTGTTCAGCTACCTCCCAGCATACATAAGGGGAATTACCAATAGACCCCTGGTTGTCTTCATGAACGCACTGGACAGGCACCTAAAGTCAGTACCTAACCAACTGGTTTGTGGTTTGTACATCAATCTGTTTGCGGCCAGCAGTAACAGCCTGATTGATCAGACCCTGATCCACCACGAAGCCTGGCCTCAGACCGGGCAGCGGGGGCGTTGACCCCTAAAACCCTCTATAGGTATACTCCAGGTAAGTCATTCTGTTTCGTACCATCCTCTCTAAATGTCTGACCCACCACAACTACCCCTCCTCAACTTTCTGGATAATACTTTTAGTAGCTCCACACTTCCTCTTAATTTCCAAACTATGGATTTTCTTCATTATAATCACACCACACATTGCCCTCAGACACAACATCTCCACTGCCTCCAGCTTTCTCCTTGTTGCAACATTCATCACCCATGCTTCACACCCATATAAGAGTGTTAGTATAACTATACTCTCATACATTCCCTTCTTTGCTTTCATGTTTTTTGTCTCTACAGACTCCTCAATGCACCACTCATCTTTTTCTCCTCATTAATTCTCCGATTCGCCTCGTATTTCATAGACCCAAAAACTACAGAATAAAAAGAAATGTAATTAAATAAGGAGTTCCTAGTTGAAGCAAAAAATAGAAGTTGTCAATAATTTACCTTAAGAATCTCTCTGGTAAAAGTTGAGTGCCTTCCCGAGGTGTGGCACATACTGAGTGCCCCTGAATGGCAGCCGAGGACCATTAACCCTTGATCATTTCCCTAATGTCCATGTACATGTCGTAGTAGAGCCCCAAGTCATAGACACATGCTTGGAACATCTCACCATCGAAGCAGTTAGCCCTGTTATGTTGCCAAGAAAACGAGAGAGGGGCGAACGGAGGGGAAACTAATTAAAAATCGTGACAAAAATAACAGAAAATTAAGAAAAGTGAATGTAAAAAAAATAAATAAATAAAAACTGGCTTATTTAGTTTATGGGGCTCTAGTTATTTGTTTATTTATTATGCAAATTCTCCGTTAATAAACATCGACACCATGCCTAACCCTTCTAGGGTAGGGTAGGTGCCTGAGCCCGAGCCTTTAGCTCATAAGACTGTCATTCCCATTAGTCCCCTTGTGGCGGGGATGGCAGACCAGAGAGGCCTAGCTTGTGGCTAGGCCTGGGGACAGTTGGTCCCAAAGATGAGGAGGAACTTGTGCCTCCTCCCATGGGAGACTTAGGTCTCAGACACTCCCTAAAGAGGGAGCCAAGGCCGGGCCACCACTTGGAAAAGGCTCGGGCCGGGAGAATACCGGCTAATCTTTAATAATAATAACCAACTTACAATAGACCCATAAACTAAATATTAACCAGACAAATGAGGTCAAGAAAAATCCGTATTTAAATGACAAAAAAAATAAATAAAGAGGTGCATTAAAGTAAAAAGATAATGTGAAATTTATTTTTGGAAAGTCAACTTAAAAGAAATTTTTGAGGTTTCAGTTAGTATTAAATGTGCAACAAAAAAAATATTAGGTATAATAATAATAAATAAAAATGGGCAGTGAGAAAATAATTCATAAATTAGCAAAATGTTCAGAGAACCAAATAATTTAATAAAAATAAAATAATATTTAAAATAAAATAGGAATGCCTGAGAATCGAAGAACTCGGACCCGGGACGGTTGTGGCACCTACTGGTGTGTATGGGACGGTTGTGGCACCTACTGGTGTGTATGGGATGGTTGTGGCACCTACTGGTGTGTATGGGATGGTTGTGGCACCTACTGGTGTGTATGGGACGGCTGTGGCACCTACTGGTGTGTATGGGACGGTTGTGGCACCTACTGGTGTGTATGGGACGGTTGTGGCACCTACTGGTGTGTATGGGACGGCTGTGGCACCTACTGGTGTGTATAGGACGGCTGTGGCACCTACTGGTGTGTATGGGACGGTTGTGGCACCTACTGGTGTGTATGGGACGGTTGTGGCACCTACTGGGGGGGGGGTGTTGTGGTACGGGACGGTTGTGGACCTACTGGTGTGTATGGGACGGTTGTGGCACCTACTGGTGTGTATGGGATGGTTGTGGCACCTACTGGTGTGTATGGGACGGTTGTGGCACCTACTGGTGTGTATGGGACGGTTGTGGCACCTACTGGTGTGTATGGGACGGTTGTGGCACCTACTGGTGTGTACGGGACGGTTGTGGCACCTACTGTGTGTGATTTGGGACGGTTGTGGCACCTACTGGTGTGTATGGGACGGTTGTGGCACCTACTGGTGTGTACGGGACGGTTGTGGCACCTACTGGTGTGTATGGGACGGTTGTGCACCTACTGGTGTGTATGGGACGGTTGTGGCACCTACTGGTGTGTATGGACGGTTGTGGCACTACTGGTGTGTATGGGACGGCTGTGGCACCTACTGGTGTGTACGGGACGGTTGTGGCACCTACTGGTGTGTATGGGACGGTTGTGCACCTACTGGTGTGTACGGGACGGTTGTGGCACCTACTGGTGTGTATGGGACGGCTGTGGCACCTACTGGTGTGTACGGGACGGTTGTGGCACCTACTGGTGTGTATGGGACGGTTGTGGCACCTACTGGTGTGTACGGGACGGTTGTGGCACTACTGGTGTGTAGGGACGGTTGTGGCACCTACTGGTGTGTATGGGACGGTTGTGGCACCTACTGGTGTGTATGGGACGGTTGTGGCACCTACTGTGTTGTATGGGATGGTGTGGCACCTACTGGTGTGTATGGGACGGTTGTGGCACCTACTGGTGTGTACGGGACGGTTGTGGCACCTACTGGTGTGTATGGGACGGTTGTGGCACCTACTGGTGTGTATGGGACGGTTGTGGCACCTACTGGTGTGTATGGGACGGTTGTGGACCTACTGGTGTGTATGGGACGGTTGTGGCACCTACTGGTGTGTATGGGACGGTTGTGGCACCTACTGGTGTGTATGGGACGGTTGTGGCACCTACTGGTGTGTATGGGACGGTTGTGGCACCTACTGGTGTGTATGGGACGGTTGTGGCACCTATGGTGTGTATGGGACGGTTGTGGCACCTACTGGTGTGTATGGGACGGCTGTGGCACCTACTGGTGTGTATGGGACGGTTGTGGCACCTACTGGTGTGTATGGGACGGTTGTGGCACCTACTGGTGTGTATGGGACGGTTGTGGCACCTACTGGTGTGTATGGGACGGTTGTGGCACCTACTGGTGTGTATGGGACGGTTGTGGCACCTACTGGTGTGTATGGGACGGTTGTGGCACCTTCTGGTGTGTATGGGACGGTTGTGGCACCTACTGGTGTGTATGGGACGGTTGTGGCACCTACTGGTGTGTATGGGACGGTTGTGGCACCTACTGGGTTGTGTACTGGGAGATGGTTGTGGCACCTACTGGTGTGTATGGGATGGTTGTGGCACCTACTGGTGTGTATGGGACGGTTGTGGCACCTACTGGTGTGTATGGGACGGTTGTGGCACCTACTGGTGTGTACGGGACGGCTGTGGCACCTACTGGTGTGTACGGGACGGCTGTGGCACCTACTGGTGTGTACGGGACGGCTGTGGCACGTATTGGTGTGTTTGGGATGGTATGGAAGGGCAAACAGGGGAAAGGGTACCTATAGTAGACAGTTTACCTATGTACCGAGTACTTGGTCCTGTACCTAGTGTACCAGATATATAGAAGGTGAAATCGGGGGTACCTACAGTAGAGAGCTTAGCTTTGTACCGAGTACTTGGCTATGTACCTAGTGAATTATCTGATAGTGATTATATGGAAAGGGGAACCGAAGGTACCTATTGTAGAGAATTTACCTATGTATGGAGTACTTGGTCCTGTACCTAGTGAATTACCTGAGTTTATATGGAAGGGGGTGACTGATAGGAGTTAGTCACCAGTCTTATAAAGTACTTCTAGACAGTATAATTTCTTTTGTAAATATGATTGAAAAATGCATTTAAAACTGGATATTACATGAAAAAGCCTTCACAGGACGTTCCATAACTTACATTCAATTTTGGACATACGTTTCTAATTTCATTTGCAAAAGATTCGCTGTATTTATTAAAATATTTATCATTTTGAGTATTATGGTTTGCGTGCCTATTAGGACAAATAAATCAGTGTCTGACCTTTTTGGGCTTATTATAGGTAATTTACACTATGTATGATAATTGTATTTGTGTACCTGTACCTATATAAAATTACTAGTGAGGTAATATAGTATGGAAGGGGACGTGGATGGAGTATTAATGCTGGGGTACATATAGCTGTAGAGAACTTGGCTCTGTTTGTCTGGATGGAGTTCAAAGTTCTGTACGTTGCACTGTACAGAGGATTCTCAGAATGGGGTACTCAGTATGTCAAGTAGCAGAGTTCCTAATGCTGAACCTAATGTGGTATATGGAGTGTTCGCTTTCAAAGGGTAGCAACGTATGGTTCCTAGTACCTGGAGGGGGTCACTGGGGATTCTAAGGATGAGATACCTAGTCTTGAATCTAGTAGAATATCTGAAGGTGTACCTAGCGTGGTACCTGGTGTGGTATGCAGCTATCCTGCGAGAAGCAGCAGCATTGCATGGTCTGTGTTAGATGGAGGGATTCTTGGGGATACTAAGGATGGGATACCTAGCTCTACATCTAGCAGAGTACCGGAAGGTGTACCTGGTGTGGTAGGCATCTCACCATTAAGGGAAAGCAACGTATGGTTTGTGGTACCTGGATGAGTCCCAGGGAATACTAAGGATGGGATACCTAGTACTGCATCTAGCAGAGCACCTGAAGGTGTAGCTAGCGTAGTACCTGGTGTGGTAGGCAGCTCACCTGCAGGAGGCAGCAACGTAAGGTTTACGATAGAGGTTGTAACAATCATCACAAACTCGGTCAAGCTTCTTGAAGAGTGCTCGGTCATAGACGCCTTTGCAAGCTTGGTCGAACACTTGTCTCTTGTTGAGGCTGTGATCTTGTGAGAGGAAACCCAGAGGTGCTGAAGATGACCCGGCCGACAGCAGTCGTTCCAGCCTCACCGACCCTTCCACGGACCGTCCACGGACGCCAGTCGGACCCAGTGTGACCACTACGACGACCATCGCCACCACCACCAGTGACCACATCTGTTGGAGAGAGGGAGAGAATGAGGGAGACCATCCACAGATGTCGAACGTAACTCACAACCCTAAAAGGCCTTACTACTGTCAACTGTGAAGAAAATATTTCTCAGTGTGATGAGCAATATTGTGTCTTAGTAAAACTCTATACAGTGAGAAACATTGTCCCCTCACTTAAACTAGTTTTAATAACCAAGTCTATCAATAATATTCTCATCTCTATTCCTCAAAGGTGCAAGATAAGACGCTAAATACCAATAGGCCAAAGTGTTCACAAGTAGAGTTAAGCGCAAAGTCGAGCTAGACTAGTAAGTCATCAGAAAACATATCACACAAGGGAATGTAGAAAATGTTAGGCAAGGTAAGTCAGGAAACAGGACAAGTGTTTCCTGACGCTGGTCTTAATCAGATGATGATTCACAGCCGGAACTTTTGGTTATCTGACCGAGGCCTTTCACTGGCTTACCAATTTACCCCTTTATAAATATACCAAGTTTGATGAATCTTATGGGAGCTAGCTGGCCCAGTGGCTAATGCGTCAGTCATGAGTTCTGAGACTTTCTGATCGCGGGTTCTAACCCCATCCGTGGTATGGTTTGTTTGGAATCGTGTCATTACGATTTCGTGAGTTGAGTTACCCCTTTAAAAATTATGGGGAAAAAAATAAAATACCTTAAATAAAAATAAAATCAAGCAAGCATTGGGGAAATATATGTAAATAAGTTATAATTACAAAAGATAATTCCTACTTATTAATTAACATTTTTATTAATACATTTGAGGTTAAACAATCACTTGTCTATCCCGGTTAAATCCACCTATTACTAAACTCCATTAGACACGTTCAACCTTCGACACACATCAGTTACACGACGGAACACATTACGTGATCATCATCGAGATTGGATACGGAACACAGGTGTGGAAAGATCGTAGGACAGAGAGTGTTGTGTTTGCTTGGAATATATATCTGTTAGTTTACGCACAGATTGGCGACGTTTCTAGTGGTCCTTGGACTGTGTTTAGTGTTTCAGGGCAGTGAGCCACGTGCGGGTGGCTACGGGCCCTGACTGGGGCACTGAGCCTCACGGCTCTGCGCCCAGTGTGGGCGGCTGTGAGGTTACAAGAAGGTGCTCCGCTGCTGGCTCTGTCCCCACACCTACAGTCACCATGACAGACCCAGGAGAGCGGCCTAAGCGTTCCTTGGAATACGGGGACGAGTTGGAGGACGACGTGGGGCAGGTGGGAGCCCCCACCAAGAAGGCCAAGAATGCAGTAGAGACTATTGTATCTGCCAATATGCCACTAGATCCGTCGGCAGCCGCTACCCAAGGAGACTTGCACCCCCAGATGGCCATAGGGATTGTGGAAGGAAGCCAGGAGGCTGTAGCTCCTCAACTGGCAAGGATAGAGCCATCCCAGGTCCCTACACAAGTTGCGCCGGCCTCCACAGTGGACGGGGACTGGCTGACTCCACGTGGACGGAGGAATTCCCGCTCAGCTCAGGCACAAGCAACCAGGGCCTTCAACAAATTCAAGGTTCCGGATTATAGGTCTGTAAGGTATCTGGAAGGTCTACCCCGCCTCAAGTTCCACTGCGAGTTCACTCTCAGGAACGAGGTTTTGGTTATTCCTCGGGACGAAGATTCTTACGAGGAATTGAAGGGGATGGTTGTGACCATCCCAGCATGGTGGAACTGGTTGCTTCGGAGAAGGTGTACAAGGGGGTGCTCTTACACGTCCCTGTGCCCCTCCCACTGGACCCCATTTTGGAAGTGCCCAATATTGTCAAGGCGGAGCGACTCGCTGCAACAGTGAACAAGGTGCCCACCCAGGTGTGATCCACCACAAGTCCACTCCCAGAACCTGGACCTTGGGGTCTGGGGAAGATTCAAGACCCGACCATACCTGTCAGGCCCAGTACAATGCTTCAACTGTCAGGGGTTCAATCATATTGCAGCCACCTGCCAGTGAGAGAAGAAGTGTGGTGTGTGCAGCAAGGCACACGACTCGAAGGACTGCATTGCCATCCTCAAACAGCCAACCGGCAAAGCCCTTTGGCAGGAGCCCAAGTGTGCCAACTGCTCAAAGAGGCACCATGCCTGGAACCGGAGCTGTCCTGTGATGGTGCAGCACTGGCAGCAGGTTCATCATCGGAACGACCCGACAGCCCCGACGCCACCCAGCCTTGGAACCACCCAGCAACAGTCGGTATGGGCTCTGACCGCGGTTCCCCAGATACCGCAGGAGGGTAATACCAGCGAGTTCCCGGCACTGGGCTCCCGGTAGTTGCATCAGGGGGCACGCACTGGCTTGCAGCAGTGCGGTCAACTTCGGGGTCGGATGGTAAGGTGGCCAAGAAGACAGAATCAATGGGAAAAACAGTCACAGGCCAGGCACACTGCCCAGCAGGTCCCAGCTGGGCACCAACATTCCTTGCCATACCGCCAGCAGGCCTCTTCCCAAGGGCAGGCCCCTACTGGGAGCGGCCAGTCAGGCAGAGGTTCCCCGGCAGGGGACCCAGAAGCCCATGGCCACTCAGGCCGGGCCCAGGGTGCACCCAACTTATGCTGCTGCAGTGTCAACAGCCACCCAGACATACCCAGTGACCCAGCCCCGACTCGACGGGTCGTCCAGCTCAATGCCTGCAGAGGTAATGGTCGAATCATTTCCCGATCGACTGAAGAAAATCATCAGGGTCATCTCAGCACTCCTCTGTCGCCTGCTGCCGTCGGCAGAGGACAGGGGCGCCTGCAGACAGCTCCTGTCATGGAGGCTGGGCGTGGTCCTACTAGACAGGAAGGCCTCAATGGAACTTCAGGCCATCATCCAGGAGTCCTTCCAGTCCATGATGGAGGAGGCCCCGGAGTCGCCAACAACGGACGACGAGTCCCAGGCAGAGATGGAATCAGAGGGCCACCTCGGTGGCCCTTGAAGATCCTCCAGTGAAACATTTGCGGGCTGCAGTGGAAAATTCACTTAGTGATTGAAGCTGCAGTTCAGGATGAGGTTGATGTCTTCCTGTTCCAGGAGACACTTACCAATTTGTCACATCAAATGCAGCCACGTATCCCGGGATTCTCGGCCTACCTTCAGTGCCTGGAAGGGACTGGCAGGGGCACGGCGATCTATGTCAGGACCACTATCCCTCATTCAATCTCCAATGACCCCATTAACTGTGGGGAGGGCGTAGAGGTTCAGGCTGTCACCCTACACCTACCGGATGGACCTCACATGGTTTACAATATTTACAGAAGCTCTCTGTACACCCTTGACATTTCAGAGGTGGCAGCACTCGCCCCACGGGAGGGTCTTGTTGTGGCTGGGGATGTCAATGCCCACCACCCAATATTTTCTTCTGTCTCTCCTACCAACGCAGCTGGGAGGCACCTTGCGGCTGTGCTGGAGGAGGCCCCTGAGATCGCCCTCCTCAATAATGGTGAGCCAACCCATCACTACGGTGGCTGCTTGGACGTCACACTCATCTCTAGGCGGTTGCTCTCGAGTGCGAGATGGGAGGTCCACCCTCGTCTCACCAGTGATCACTTTGCAGTGGTCACCACGTTGATGGTCCAGCGGTGCCCGCTCCCCACACCTACCCCCAGATGGAATCTAAAAAAGGCTGACTGGCAGTGCTTCCAGGAGGTCATTGAGCGCTGGTGGGCAGTCTCCTCTTCCGGAAGACCCAGATGAGGCGGCTCAAAGCTTGCAGGTGGCCTTCACATGTGCAGCTGAGGCAGCCATACCTAAGATTACAGGCGGAGGGTCATATAAACGTGACTGGTGGTGTTACAATGAGGACATCAGGGAGCAGAACCACCGCATTAATGTCGTACGCAAGATGCACAGGCGTAATCCCACGGTTGAGTCCATGCGTCTGCTCAGGGAAGTGGTGCGGCATGCACGCCATGTCTCACACAGGGTCCGGCAGGCTAAATGGTTCGAGTGGTGTGCCTCCTTCAGCTACTCCTCCACCTTATCTGAGATTTGGACCAAGTTACGATTGGCCACTGGGCAGTGTCGCAGTGTGGCTCGGTTGCACCCAGACCCCGCAACGGAGGCAGAGCGTCTGGTGGACCTATTCACCTCCAGAGCGGCCATGGCTCAACTGCCTCAGGATCTCCAGGACCTCCAAGCCACCCTCCTTCCTAGAAGGATGATGGTGATCCAAGCGGCATGCCAGGCTAAGGACGTCACAGATGAAGACTTCACCGACCAGGAGCTCCAGGCAGCCTTCACATCTCATCAGGACACTGCACCGGGGCATGATGGTATCACCTATGGCATGATCACTCGGTCTGGCCATTCTGGACATTCAGCTGTCCTGGGGGTCGTCAACCGGACTTGGCGAGCTGGCAAACTCCCTGTCGTATGGAAGGAGGCTGACATCATACCGATTCCTAAGTCTGGGGATCCTGGCAGTGTGAGACCCATTTCCCTCACCAGTTGCATCTCGAAGGTGTCTGAAAGGATGGTGTTGGAGCGCCTGAGGTGGAAGCTTGGCCCTCCTCATAAACACCTCTATGGCTTCACCAGAGGAGTAGGCACATTCGAAAGCCTTACCACTCTACTGGCCGGCATTGGGTCGGACGCCCAAGCCCACATTGTTGTCTTTCTTGACCTCGAGAAAGCTTTTGAGCTACCCAGTGCACCTGCCATCCTCTCACTCTTGGCCCGCAGGGGAGTTCAAGGCAGGCTGCTTTTATGGCTTCGTTCCTATCTCCAGGACAGGCGGGCCCGGGTACAGTTCCAGGGGCATGCCTCTTCTCTCAAGACCCTGGACAACGGCACTCCACAGGGCGGGGTGCTTAGTCCCACCCTGTTCAATGTACTGATGCACCAGCTGGTGCGCCTGCCTTTCTCCAGAGGCACCTTCCTCCTCAGCTATGCCGATAACCTGGCACTTGTCGTACCTAGGAAGCGCCGGCTTTTGCAGCGTGCCCAGGAGGACCTCGATCTGCTGGCTTCCACCTGCCGTCACTTGGGACTCAAGATATCTGCAGCAAAATCCAAAGCCATGATCCTTCGCACCAAGGTGCCCAGTCAGAGGCTGTGGGTCCTGGGCATCAACCTGGAGTGGGTTCACAGTTATAGGTGCCTTGGCATCTACATTGACAGGCGCCTCACCTTCCAGAAACATGTGCACCACATTAAAGAGAGGGCTCTGCAGAGGGTCAGGGCATTGAGTGCCATGGCCAACTCTAGGGTTGGGGCCAGCCTCGAGGTTATGAGGTTGTTCTACTTCCAGGCAATACAATCCCTCGTTGACTATGGGGCACAGTATTAGGTAATTCTAGATACCATTAGACGATTTTTAGACAGGATTTTGCAACTTTAGACATCATTAGATGAGACTACTGTAGAAATGAGAAATCTTGTGCAAGAAAGGTATAAAATACCGACAAAATGGAAGTTGAGACACATGTGCAACATCTGGGTATCTTTATTGTAGACGTTTCGCCATCCAGTGACTTTATCAATACAGATTCTAGGACATAATAGGAAGACAGTAGAACTATATACAAAAGATGAGGTAATCAGACCCTCGGCCTTGGAGTTAGTGTTCACAACATCGTGGTGGAGGAGAATCTGGAGCAAAGGCAAGAAGAATCCTTATCCTTATCCACTGACGCCTATATAACCGCCAGTCTTCTTGCCTTTGCTCCAGATTCTCCACCACCACGATGCTGTGAACACTAACTCCAAGGCCGAGGGACTGATTACCTCATCTTTTGTATATAATTCAACTCTCTTCCAATTATGTCCTAGAATCTGTATTGATAAAGCCACTGGATGGCGAAACGTCTACAATAAAGATACCCAGATGTTGCACATGTGTCTTAACTTTCAAATGAGAAATCTTGTTGAAATAAGAGTATTATAATGGAAACTAAGCACTAAACCCATAAAGGCCCAAATAGAAATGAGTAATCTTGTCATTACCTTCAAATAATACTAGACCGCCTTCGACGACTCTAATTATAAATTACTCGACATTATCTGCTGTCTAATTTGACATTATATATCTAAGTATAGCATTATAGGAAGCTAAAATATAATTATATAACTCTCAATATATGAACACTGTAGGATTTAGAATTAGACTGGAAGAATTAGATTAGATGGCCTAGAGCATTTTTGAATGAATTTAGACAGTTTACTAATTCTAAAGAATTTTACAAATTTTAGATAGATCTTGCAAGAATCTGACAGTTCTTGTGGGACTGGACAGTGCCAGGCACGACTCTGTGGGACTGGACAGTGCCAGGCACGACTCTGTGGGACTGGGCAGTGCCAGGCACGACTTTGTGGGACTGGACAGTGCCAGGCACGACTTTGTGGGACTGGAAAGTGCCAGGCACGACTTTGTGGGACTGGACAGTGCCAGTCACTATGTGAAATTGGACAGGACCATCCACTACTTTGTAGGATTGGAGAGTGCCAGTCAGTAATGTGTGAGATTAGATACTGCCAAGGACTACTTTGGGGAACTGGACAGTGCCACACTTTACCAAGTGTGATTAGGGAGTACTAGACACTAATTTGTGGGATTGGACAGTGCCAGCTTCTAACGTGTGTTATTTGACAGTGTAAGGTACTAATTTCTGTGACTGGAAGTGCCAGTCACTGTGTGCAATAGGACAGTGCCAGGCACCTCTTTGTTGAAATAGACAGAGTCATTCATTTCTTTGTGTGATTGGACAGCGCCAGTTACTGTGTGGGATTGGGCAGTGCTAGCCACTGTTTCATGGGAGTGGACAGTGTCAATCACTGTGGTATTGGACAGTGCCAGGCACTTCTTCGTTGGAGTGGACAGTGCCGGTCACTGTGGGATTGGACAGTGCCAGGTACTACCATGTAGCACTGAACACATGTTCACTAGATAGGACAGTAATCAAAACAGCTGTATAACACCTATGGCTCTTAGATGTCACCTGTGTCACACCAGGGGTACCTCAGTAATACATGTATAATACCAAGGGTACTTCAGTAACACCTGTGTAACACAAGGCGTTCTTAAGTAACACCTGCGTACCAGGGGAACTTCAGTAACGCCTATGACCTTCCTCATGTGTCTAACACCTACGTTGCACTTGTCACTGTTTACAACAGAACACCACAGTTACTTGATTGGTATATAACGAATCGTTCGGATGACGCCAGGAGGTACCAGTCAATGTCCCAGTCACGTCACCACTTACTGTGGTAGTCACTGCAGAAGCGAGTAATCTTACCATTCTACAAGCGACCATGGTGGAAGTTTGGTGTCCTCGGGGAGGAGGAGAGTACTAGCGTAGATAGCGATGGAGAAGCAGGAGCTCCAGCAAGTGCTGTAGCAGAAGACTGTGGCACTTGGGCTGTGGCAGGTACTGTACGCAGCTCTGAAGAGATGCTCGTCAGGGATCAGAGGCTCTCTGAGTAGTTTCAGTGCCACATCGGCTTATATAGAGGATTATCGTGCGCGCGCACACACACACACACACACACACACATGCACACACACAATCGCACTCGTTCACATGGTGAGTGGAAAAGATTCTCAGGGAATTATTGAGAAACAGTGATTTAAAAGACTCATCAGTGGTGGAAAGACCTTCATTGAAGTCTCTGATAATTATTATAATTATTATAAGCAAAACTAAGTGCCAAGCCCACTGCAGGATAGGGCGAAAATCTTTGATCTGAGACTAGCGAGGGTAGAAAGTATAAGAGAGGTACAGTCAGTAAGGGCTGTGAGGAGTGCTAAAAGTTTATGTAATAAATCTGTTGCTGTCTATAAGTCAAAGAGGGAGTCTGTGTCGGAGTCTGTGTCAAAGTTGGGCCGCCAGTGAGTAGGGAAAATAAAGTAAGGGTGTTAGAGCAGTAACACCGTCAGAGTTAATTTCTGCGTGCTTGGTGGTAAACAGGACAGTCTAATAGAATATGGCAAACTGAAACTGAAACCTGACAATTCTCACCGAGTGAAACTTGGCCCCTCTCCACGAGATACCCGTAAGTGAGACGTGTGTGTCTGATACCAAGACGGTGAAGTGTAGTCTCACAACCATGACATTTGTGGAAAATTTTGAATTTTCCGAAACCATAGTGCATAATTTTAGTATGTAATTCAACGATATGCATTGTTGTTGGTTTAAAATTAATTTGGGAATTAAAAAGGGAACCAGCAAACAAGTAGCGTCGGGTGAGGGAGGACGCCATATTGGAATTTGAGGAACAAGACCACATTGAAATTTGTGGGAATTCTTCAGAGGCTCTGGAGGCTAAATGGGGTTTAAGCCTCCCAAATAGGAACAAGAAAAATCAGAGTTACAGTCCTGTAGAATGTGCGAAAACAGCGACTTGGCAGGACTTGGAAATTAGACGGTGAAAGGGGATTATAAGGAGCCATCAACACCCACAGCTAAGTACACTGCACTTTATATGTTGAACTTCTGGCCAGTTAGGTTCCTCATATCTAGGCAGGGGTTGTGGGTGATCTATATGTATCAGGCGACTTCCAGACAAATTTGGTAAGTGGTGGTAACAAATATTTTTTCTCATATGATGTATAAATGCAAGTACCCCTCACCCCCCCCCCCTTCCTTCCGTCAGTCTAACCTAATAATACAGTCTACATAATTTTAATGTAAATAGTATTACCAAAATTACTCGTTGTGTTTATTAAATATGATGTTAATTTTTATAGGTCCAGAGTAGATGTGGGATGTATGAGGGAAGTGGGTGTCGGAGGGAGACATTCTCCTTGTGACCTAGGGTGTTCAGAGTTGTAACAGTTGATAAGTAATAGTTATCTTTGTTGCCTTCCTAATTAAATTATTGGTATAATGTAATGCAGTTCATGCACATAATTTATTCCCCATAACAATGATGGTAAGACCAGAATCCTAAACACGGCATGATAGAATATAATTTGTGATTAATCAAATCAGATCAACGTTGTTGCCAACGGTTGCAGGTGGCTAGAGATTACAGCAAAATAGCCTGAGAATGGAACACTTCTTTATGAAATGGGATGGTCAAGTACTGCTGACTGCACAGCAGAGTCTGCCTGCCCGTTACTCTGAACATCAATATGACCAGGGACACAGAAGATAACGATTTCTTTGTTATTGCTAGAAATGCGGCACAGCCAAAGTTGTATATGAAGAACTAGGGGATAAGGTGAATTATTTTTTTGGATAGCTTGCAAAGCACTAAAGGAGTCTAAAACTACCACGAATGTCGAGGTAGGCCTGGAAGCATTGAATATAATCGACATGAGACCTGCATACAGTTTAGCTGTGAAAATGCTAGAGGAGTCTAATAAATGACCTCCCACATCACTGTCCGGGAACACTGCTGCAAACCCGACACCGTCAGAGGATTTAGATTCATCAGTGTAAACTACAACGACATGAGAATGAGACGGGAGCTGGTTAAGAAAGAAGGAGCAAGATGCAAGGCGAAAGAGAAAAGTTAGATGCTAGATGAACATATAAAGGGGGCAACTGAAGAAAGGCCAATTGCTAGTGAAGACGAAGAAAAAGGGACTGAGTAAACAGGGGGGGCGAACAAATAATGGACCTCTACTAATGACCGTTACTATCCTATATATAGAAGGATCGTGAAGGTCATAAAAACGGACAAAATATCTGGGGCAATGGGCATCATGCCAATCGTTCAGAGATGGAACATTCACCTCTGCATATAGGCTCTCAACAGGAGAGGAGAGAAAAGCACCTGGACATAAACGTAATCCCTGATGATGAATGGGATCAAGTTTAGAAAGAGTTGCAGGAGAGGCTGCAGAATATATTTGGTCACCATAGCCTAGTTTCGATAAAATTAGGGCTGAATGAAATTGAAGTAGAGTTTGACGATCAGCCACACAAGAAAGATGAGCGAGGGTTTTACGTAGATTCAGTTGGCTATGACAAGTTGCTTTCAAGGAGATAATGTGAGGTTTCCAGGAGATAATGTGAGGTTTCCAGGACAGCCCGCGGTCAAACAGAACACTGAAAAATCTGACAATATCATGTTCAGGGATCCGGAAACCTTACAGGTATAGCGGAGTATATAAGACAACAGAACGTATTGTAAAAGTAATCCGGTGCGTTTTGGTACCAGAAAATACAAACCCATGAATAGTGACCCAATGGGAAATACAGTCAATAGCATTCTGGAGAAAAGCTGATATTTGGTGGCAGTCAGCGCCTGCACAAGCTATAGCAAAATCATCAACATAAAGTGATGACTAAATATTAGATGGGAGAACAGATGCCAGATCATTACTAGGTAGTACAAAAAGAGTGGTGCTAAGGACACATCCCTGAGGAACACCTCCAGCCTGGATATAGTCTGGGGCAAGACAGATTATCAACCCAGATACAAAAATGTGTCTCAGACAAGAAGTTTTTATTTAAGAAGAAATGGCGGATTGCCTCGAAGGCCTAAAGAATGAGCTTGGACTAAGATGTTATATCTCCAGGCAGTGTCATGATTTTATCAAGATCAAAAAAAGACTGGGATAACTGAGTGGCTACTAGCAATGCCATTACGAACATAAGTATCTTTCCTGAGTAAGGAGTCGATAGTGGAGCGGCACTTACGAAAGCCAAATTAACGAGTGGAAAGACTATTATTTGTCTCTAAATACCACATCATACGTCTATTTACTGGACAATCCATCACCTTGTAAACTGCACTAGTAAGAGTAATGGGTCGATAATGGGAGGCTTCATGGCCTGAAGTACCTGGGTTAGGAAACGGGAAAACCACAGCAGTTTTCCACGGACGGGGAAGAGCCCCTTGTGACCAAACAAGAAGAAATAGACGTAACAGGACTACGAGGACTGATGGATGTTAATGATCGATCATACTAATATAAATGCCAACAAGTCCGCTTGCCGATCATCGGCAAGTGGAAAGTTCTGGAAGTGTAAAAGGCTCGTCTCTGCTAGAAGAAAAGTCTAAAGGCAGCAACTCTCTGGCAGACTTGGAGGAAAAAAACGAGGGGCATAGAAGGAGCCCTTGTGAAACACGAACAAGATAACTTGCAAATATAAGTATACTGGAAACATGAAGCAGTAGGTGTCTACGAACTGGTAGGGTCAGTAAAGCCTACATGTGGAGGTAACGGAAAATGATAAGCACTTCCGGACAACTCTGTGATTCAACAGATACTTCTAACATCCCTGTGACTCAATTGCGTTTTCAACTTCCAGTTGTGTCCCCTTGTTGCTGTGTCCCATCTCTGAAACAATCTATCCTTATCCATCTCGTCAATTCCTCTCATTATTTTATACGTCTTTATCATAGTTTCCCTATTCCTCCTGTCCTCCAGTGTCATTAGATTGGTTTCCCTTAATCTCTCCTCGTAGGACATACCCCTTAGCCCCTGGACTAGTCTTGTTGCAAACTTTTGCAATTTCTAGCATTTTTGACGTGCTTGACCAGGTATGGGTTCCATACTGGTGTTGCATACTCCAATATGGGCCTGACGTACATGTGTACAGTGTCTTGAATAACTCCTTACTCTTAGGTATGCCAGGCTTCCATATGTTGCAGTAGTTATTTAGTTAATGAGCGATTCAGGAGATGTGCTCGGTATGATACTCACCCCAAGAACCTTCTTCTTGAGTGAAGTTTGTAGCCTTTGGTCCTCCCTAGCCTGTACTCTGTCTGAGGTCTCCTTTGCCCTTTCCCAGTCTTCATGACTTTGCACTTGGTGGGGTTACACTCAAGGAACCAATTGTTGAACCAGGCCTGCAGCCTGTCCAGATTTTTATGTAGTCCTACCTGATCCTTATCAATTTGCATTCTCCTCATAAGCTTCACATCATCTGCAAACAGGGACACTTCTGAGTCTATTCCTTCCGTCATGTCATTCACATATTCCAGAAACAGCACTGGTCCTAGGACTGACCCTTGTGGAACCCCGCTCGTTACAGGCGCCCGCTCTGACAACTCGTCACGTAGCATCACTCGTTGTTTCCTTCCCGTCAGGTATTCCTGACTCATTGCAGTGCTTTCCCTGCTATTCCTGCCCTCTCCTCAAGCTTTTCCACTAATCTCTTGTGCGGAACTGCGTCAAAAGCTTTCTTACAGTCCAAGAAAATGCAATCTGCCCACCCCCTCTCTCTCTCTTGTTTTATTTCTGTCACCTTGTAAAACTCCAATAGTTTTGTGACACAGGAGTTCCCTGCCCTGAAACCTTGCATTCCCTTCCAGGTATTCCACCAGTTTTTGCCTGATAAGTTTCCCTATGACTTTGTATACTATACTTGTGAGTGACACTGGTATGTAGTTTGTGTGTATGTGTGTGTGTGTGTGTGTGTGTGTGTGTGTGTGTACTCACCTATTTGTGGTTGCAGGGGTCGAGTCACAGCTCCTGGCCCCGCCTCTTCGCTGATTGCTACTAGGTCCTCTCTCTCCCTGCTCCATGAGCT